GACCGCCCAGGTTGAGCGAGGAACGTCGAGTCCGCCATGTGCTGGAGGATGGCCTGGCAGGCGATCTGCTGAGGTTGGTCGTTGATGTCGCCGATGCTGCGCAGGTGGCCCGCTGCGCGCCGAGCAGGCACCGGCCCCAAGCGGTGGGGGGCACAGGGCTCGAACGCGCGCTGCCAGGTCGAGCGTCTCCTCGATGGCGGGCGAGCGCCAGTCCAGGCGACAGGCCGGCAGCCAGGTCCTCCAGAGGACGGCGGTCGAACCAGCGCCTCGCAGCTTCCTGGGGAACGCGCGAGCGTTCGTGGATGACCGAGGTGCGCGCGCGCCGCAGATCGCAATGGGGATGCCTGGGCCGCCGCGGTCGCGGAAACCAGCTTGGGGGCGCCCCATTCATGCCGCGCAGCGCACTCCGCCCGTCAAAGAGCACCGCCAAAGCGACGGGCGAGCTTCCAGAGACCGCGAAACTCACGGTTGCCACGCTCCGCGGGCACGACGAAGAACCGACCGACGTGCGAGACGGCGGGACCGACCCGCGCGTTGTAAATCCGAGCGTTGGTGGACAGCGGCGCCGTCGTCATGGCCAGGAATGGAAGCCGCCGCCAGATCTGTTGCCGCGCGGCCAGGAAAGACTCCATAGGCGTGGCCACAGGTCCGAGGCAGCAGCCCAAGCACTGCAACGTGTCGGCGAATTGTAATTAAGCCCACCGCTGCACCTGGTCCGCAAAGAAGCTCTGCATGCGGCTCTGGATCCCCGTGGAGAAGAGCGAAGAGCGGGGCCAGCAAGCGCTCAGTTGGCTCGAGGTGGAGCGCGGCATGGACAGCAGCCGCTTCCATGATCTAGAACAGGTCGGGGAAGCCTTGGATCGAAGAGGGGGCGCCGCCCACATCGTCGGCGCGCGCCCGAAGAGCGGCGAACCCAGGAGTGTCCGGCCCGGCATGGATGCGAAGAAGCGACGGCACCAACGGAAGGTCGTAGACAGTGCCAGACGGAGCGCAGCCTTGCGCAATACCTCGCGCGATGGGGAACATGGAAGTCACCCGCTGGTTTGAAACCGACGCGGCAGCTGCGGGGGCGCGGGCCCCCCCGCCGCCCGGGTGGATCCCGCGGGGAAGCGAAGGGGAAACCATGCCATCATCGGACGCTCCTGCGAGAGGCTCGGGAAGGCCCAGCCGAAGTCGAAGGCGGCGAGGGGCGGCGTCTCGCAAGAGGCCCCGGGGGCCAGCTGCGCGCGCCAGAGCGCCCACCTCGATGATGCGCTCAGCGCGCGCGCGTCTGGCGGTAAAGACCCTCTGCGAAGCAGGGGGAACGTGTCGCGCAATGGGGGGCGCGGCCGCGTCAAGCGTCGCGCTGGTAATCTTGGGCGAGGCGTTGCGAAGGCCAAGAATGCGCGGGTCGGGGGCCGCGCGGTCGACGCCGCCATGCCCGCCGTCACCCTGGAAGCCCTTCGGGGGACAGGCCTGCTCAGCGTCGGATTCGGCGCAGGGTGCTTGCTGGCCGCTGAGAAACAAAACCGTCGCGCCCCAGAGGAAGTGGAGGCACTCCTGGAGGGCGCGCTACGCAGCGCGCGGGGGGCCGTCCATGCCCGGAGCAACGGGCGAGGAGGAAAGACGGGCGGCAACACGACCCAACGAACAACGCGATGGCGGAATGGCCAGGGCAGCCGCAGCGCGGCCGAGCTGGTCGCCAACGCGCGCGCGTGCCGCGGGATAATCGACATTGATGTCGGGGCCCACTTGCGCCGCAACCGCAGCGCGCTTGTGCTCGTCGGCGGAGTGGGCGGAGGCGCCGTCGCCGATACCTTAAAGATACCGTCTCGTGCCGAACGGGGGGGCCGGGCGCGGCGCCCAGCGGCTGGAAGTTGACCTGCGGCGCCTGCGTGGAGGCGAAGAGAAGCCAGCTGCGCGCGAGAGGCGGATCTGGCCATCAGTTGCAGCCAGTTGGGCATCCGAGATCCAGGACTCGAGCGCCGCGGGGTCGGCGAGCGCCCCCCTGCCGCCCTCGACGCGAAGGCAGGAGGAGCGCAGGGGCTCCAAGACAGCGAAAAGTTGAGCCGCCAGTCAGCAGTCATCTCGCCAGGGAGCCAGGGAGCACGGGCCGCCTGCCGAGCGAGGGCAAGCTGGCCCTGGGGCGAGTCGGCGTCGCCGTCGACGCAGAGCTTGAACGGCTCCGCGACAGCCTCCTACAAGCGAGCCTTCGCGCGGTCGAGGCGGAGCGCGGGCGGGCGGGGGGTGGGTGTGGGAGGGGGGGGGGGGGGGGGCTGCTGGTGAGGTCGTTCATCCCCGATCTATCAGGCAATGGAGGCTGCTTGAAATCGCCGCGATTGCACATGCGCTTCGCGCGGGTGCAGGCAGAGCAAGAGAGAGAGAGAGAGAGAGAGAGAGAGAGAGAGAGAGAGAGAGAGAGAGAGAGAGAGAGATAGAGAGAGAGAGAGAGCTTCGCGGTCTGCGTCGCGGCGCGGTCGCTAACGCCATGGCCCGCGAGCTCCGCGCGCGCCGCGGATTGTCATCGAAGCCGGGGGCTGGCAGAGCAGCCAGCTTGGTTGAGAGGTCCAGCATCCGCTCAGGCTTGCCACGGTGCCAGAGTCCTTGTGGTCGCGAATCGGCCCCGAGATGGCCAGCTCCGCGAGTTGGTAGAATAATTATTTGGCGTCGTGAATGCTTGCGCGAGCGCCCCGCGTCCTGAGCGGGATGAGCTTGGGGTGAAGAGGGGGCCGAGAGGAGAATATACAATGAAGCGAAACTGAAATGCCCAACAGGAACAGAGTCGCGCCGAAGAGGGCCCCCGCGAGCCCATGCCGCGCCAGGAGCGATGGCTTCTGCGGCCAAGTTGATCTGGGTGGAGGAGAGGTCGTAGCTGTGAATATTGCAGTGGCGCAAAGCGGCCTCAAGTAGCTCTGTCGAGACGCGGGGGGCTCTCCCCAGGGCCGCGGGGTAGCCGTCGCGCACGGTCCCGGGCAAGCTGAGATAAAGGGGGGCGCCGCGAGCACGCCGCAGGCAGCAGCAGGGCCGAACGAGCCGAAAACCGCGTGCTTGTGGCTGACCTTCTTGAAAGACGCGACCGCCTCCGACTCCGACTGGTGGACCTCCTGGATCGCGACGATGCTCGAGCGTCGTCGGTTGCCGGCCCGATAACGGGGTGGTGCGCATGAGCAATGCCCCCAGGCTTCCGAGATCAAGCCCAGCTCGCGGTCCAGGTAGAACTTGTGCTCAGGGAGTCGCTGTCGCATGGCATCGGGCCGCTTCTTCCCATGGGTCTCGCGGCGAATTTGGAGAGGGTTCTTGTCGGGGCCGATGTGGAACTGCGTCTGGACGCCAGTGGCGCTGGGGAGCGGGAGTCGTCTCTAACCTCGCTCAAACTGGAGGGAGCCATAGGCCTTTGAGGCCCTGCTGCCTGCGAGACCGCGCCCAGGAAGCGGATGGTGTAGAGCTTGCTCCGCGCCTCGCCAATGAGCTCTCAGGCGCCATCCAGCTGGACATTGTTGAACCAGTGCGAGACCGAGATCTGGGCGTCTTCTTTCTAGCATAGGACGGGGCCGGTAAGTTTGATGATCGTGGGGCCGATGTCATTTTTAACGCATGATCAGCTGGCCGATGAGGTTGAAGCACTTTATCCGCCAGCGCAAAAGCAGCCTGCAACGCCTTGATCTCTTGGGCAGGCGATTGAAACTTCGTTTCGTGTTCCCTTACCGTGGGCTCGACTGCTTCGATGCGGACAAAGATGGTGTCGAGCTGCTGCTGGAACTTCTTTACCATAACGCCGAGAGCAGGCTTAAGAGCAGCAGTGGCGGCGGCCACGGCGGCCTGCGGGGCGTTCTGGACAGCCTGCTCGAGAGCGACCGGGGCACCTCCGCAAGGGCCGGCGCCTGCCTTGACTGCCTCACCAGCGATGGTAACTGTGGAGGCTTGGTTTTGGTCGCGCTGCGTCTTCAACTGCTCGAGGACCTCGGCTGCACAGATGGCGCGGATATGTTCGTGAATGCTGTCGTCATACTCGTCGTCGCTGTTGGCGCGCCTGGAGCGAGACCTGCCGTCCCCACGGGCACCCGCAACGGGGCGAGGAGAACCACGAGCGTAAGGGCCACCACGGTCCGATCAGCAGTGCCCAGGTTCATCTTGGCTTTCTTCTTGCCCACACCATTCGCAGCCATGAGATCAGATAGCCGAGCAGGAACGGGAAACTCGACCGCTGACCCATCCGAGCGCCTGAGGGTCGGTGAACGCTCCAGCAGGAGCTCACCAGAAGATGGAAACTGGCCGCGGACTTGCAGTACCCACTTTGTGCCCACTTTGTGCCCGGACTTGCAATACCCATTGAGCCAGAACGGTTACGGACAGCACAGGAGAGGAAGAGGAGGAGGAGGGAGGCAAAGGAGGAGAGTGTATAATAATAGCAGCAATTGCGGCACAGCGGCAGCACAGACCCAGTATGATGACTCCAACGAAACGCGGGTATGAGCATAACCGCCGTCGGAAGGCCGCGCGGACTTCTGGCGGCGGGCCTGACAAGCCGTCGCGGTTCAAAGAACGCCGCGCCGGTTTTCTGAGAACTCATGCTTGTGCCGACTGCTGTCCCTCTGGCTAAGACGTCCTCTACGCACAGGTTCAAGACATCGGCGCAGAACCGAGACAATTCGCGCGGAACTCTGAGAGTGCATGGTTGCGCAGATTGCTTTTCGACGTCGGGATGCCTACGTACAGGTATGGAGTATGGATGTGGACCCAGCCAAGCCTGTGCCGAAGCGTGGGCGTCTCCCCGCAGAAGGTAACTCTGTGGGCGGGGGCAGCTCGCCTCAGACTCTGGACAGTAATGCCTGTGGCAGGCCACGAAGAAGGCTTGCCAGAGGAGGCGAGAGCGGGCGTGATCACAACATAATGGGGAGGGTGAGGAGGATTGGCGACGCCGCCGACGAGAGGAGGACGGCCGAGAACGCCCGCGTGCTGAGCGCGGCCCGACCGCGAGACTGAGGCTGGCCGATCTTGGTCTGAGACGACGTGCAACTCTCAGCACGTTCGGCCCACGCTGAGGCGACGACCTCCAGCATGACCATCCCGAAGGAGTAGACCTCCGCTTTGACGCAGGCCTCCTCTTCTCTCCTCTCATATCCTCTCCTCTCCTCTCCTCTCCTCTCCTCGCCTCTCCTCTCCTCTCCTCCTCATCACCATCATCCTCCTCCTCCTCCCCCTCCTCATCCTGCACCCCCCCCCCCCCTCCTCCTGCTCCGCATACTGCTTAGATGCGGGCCCTCGAAGTGCCAGGGACCAGGTCGCGAGCGATGGCAAGGGCAAGGGCAAGGACAACTGTGCGGACCTGCCGGCCCAGCGTTGTACCATCCCCTAGGCCTCTTGAACTCTGCTCCACTCCCTTGCACGCGAGCACATGTCTTCCTCCCCCCCCCTTTCCGCCCCTCCCCCCGTGTCTGCGACGACGGTGCTAGTGGAGGAAAAGCATGGGAATGTTGGACGTCGGCATTTTTGCTTGGAAAGGACATGAGTCGAGGGTACTCTTCTTTCTTTGCCGAATTGGTTGAGGCTATCTCGAGCGAAACGCTTTTAAATCTCCTACGGGTTGCTCCTCTCCCGAGGGACAGGATTGTGAGGATGTGTCAATCGAAATGCTCGTTTTCTCATGCCCAGGTCGCCCAGAGGGGGAATTGAACACGGAGGTCCCGAACCAGAGCCACGTGTTTTCATGTGTCTGGCCCGCCCTCCGGCCGCCTGAGGCCCCGCCCGCCTGTGCCCTGTCTCCCCAATTAGAGCTGTGCGTAGCCCGCCTAGCTTTTACTGGAAGAGGTTCGCTCTCGCCCCGCAGACCAAAAAAGTGTCTTCATGTGCCCTGGCCACCCATAGGGGTGTCTAGCATGGTGGTCCAGGGCCGGAGCCACGTGTTTTCACGGGTCCAGGCCACCCAGGGTGGTATCTAACATGGTTGCCCCGAGCTGGAGCCACGTGTGTTTACGTGTGCCCGCGCGGGGATATCTAACATGTGGTCGCCTGGCGGGCCCCAGCGTGGGGGCCCACAAGAGACAGACAAAATCAATGCATCGGCATCAGATGCGGAATAAAGTGATACCATGTCTTCGGCCTGTGATTTTCCAGAGATTCCATTGGAGTAACTAACTTGTTGGTCCCGAGTTGGATTCACATGGTTTCACGTGCCCAGGCCACACCGGTGGATGTCTAAGGGGTGGCACAGCACTATAGAGCACAACGCAATTCATCGCGCATAACACATTTCATGTCCGCACGGCACAGCACACCACAATCATGGGCGAGGAGGTATTCACGATCGATACAGTCAAAATTGCAATTGCCTGTCGCCCAACCACGTGCCTTAAAAACGTAGCCATGCCTCGCGTTTAAATACCTTTCCAGGTTCGTGGGCCGATCAGGTGTTTTCAACACAGGGTCCCCAGAGGCCCGGATACCCCAGGGATGGCTTATCGTTCTGACTAAGCTTTCGAAGGTCCCCGGGGCCTGGCGAGGGCCCCCAAAGGTGGAAACGTACGAACACCTCCGATCTGGCTGCTGTTCAAGACTCTGGATCCCTGGCTACCGAGCGCCCGAATCGGCAGCGCTCTGACACGGCGAGCAGAGCTGAACCGGATCGAATTGCCATTAGATATGACATTAGATATGCTATATATAAATATATAAATAAATATATTCATATATATATACATGTATACACATACATATATAGACATATCTATATATATATATATATACACACCGAAGTGCGTAAACGGATCGAGCCGGAAACGGATCGGATCGCCCGCGAACCCTCCCGAACCGAGGCGAAATCGGATCCCCGCGCCCAGCTCCTGCCGGCCACGAGCGGCGCCCACGAGCCGAGCCACCTCGGAGCGAGTCGGCCATCGAAGCCCCAACGCACCCCGAGATCCGAAGGCGCGTACAGAAGTACACCATCGCCAAGAGCCGCAACCCGAGTCCTGGGCCCTACGCGACCTCGTCATTTATCGCAAAAGAAATTCGCCGGCCCTATAGCCGTCAAAAACGGGGGTAAACCTACTAAAAGAGAACCCTGGGCCTATGCCCTTTCCGGGAATAAGCCATCGCCAAGAGCCGCAACCCGTGCCCTGGGACCCATCTCTCTGTCGCACTTCTCCGAGCTGTTTAGGGTCCCGAAGCGGTGCGGCGACAGACCGTGCGGCGACAGACCGTGCGGCGACCTCGCAATCCCCCAAGACCTCACCGCACGGTCCGCCACCGCACGGTCTTGGGACCCCGGAGGCCCCTGTCGCCCGAGACATCCTCGGAGAACGACCCGAGTCCCAAAACCGTGCGGTGACCCCGAGTCCCCACCGACTCACCGCACGGTGTGGTCACCACCCCGTTTGGGGACCCCCGAAGCTGGGCCGACCCGCGGCTCTGGGGCTCGACACCGGGCGGAAACGCCCGGTACGGCAAGAACTGCACCGCCCAACGGCCAAAGGGAGGCCCGCCAAGATCTCCGACCAGGGCAGCGGGAGCACCCCTGGCCCCCTCCCTTCCAGCCTGCGGGCCGCCGCCCCCGACCCAGGCCGCGGGGGAGACACACCTGCGACGGCCGCTCGCGGCCGCCCTCGCGATGCCAGGGCGGCGGGCGCGTGCGAGGTGCCAGCGCAGTGCAGACAGGAGGAGAGACGGCGCATCGAATCTCATCGGATCGGGGATCTACTGACCAGGGTCAATCCAAGCCCGGGTCAGTCAGGCCTTGCAGGATTTTGCAAGATCCTGCACGATCCCGCAGGATCCTGCACGCAAGCCCGGGTCAGTGCGCCCCTGGCTCTGCAGGGTCCTGCAAGATCTGGCGCTCTGACTGACCCGCGTTTGCACCGACCCCCGCCTCTTCAGCTCCGATCGGATGAGCGCCCGAAGGGCGTGGAGGGGCCTGTCGAATAACTCTGGAAGGACCTTAAGATAGCTTCCGAAGGACCTTCTGGAGAGTTTCTTTTGGCACGCGTATTGGAAAACGCTCGAGATTTTTAGAGCAGGATCGTAGGCGGCCCGGTGCCCCGACCTCGCTGCCCTCGGACATGCGCCCCGTGGCCTTGTAGAGCGGGCACAGGTACCCGGGCGTGCCGCAGACCGCCCTGCGGGGCGGCGGGGCGCGGGCAGCAGCATCGATGTCTGAGGGTCGAGGCTCGAGGCGCGAGCGTTGAGGAGCGAGGCCTGGGGATCGAGCGGCGAGGATCGAGGCTCCAAGATCGAGGCTCTAGGATCGAGGGTCGAGGATGGAAGATCGAGGTTCGAGGTTCGAGGATCGAGCTTCGAGGATCGAGGCTCGAGGCTGAAGTTTGAAACCCGTGGCCTCAGGATCGGGGTTCGAGGTTTTGATCGAGGTTCGAAGATTGAGGGCCCTTCGGCGCCCTCGTGGCCAAGGCTGGGTCCGCTCCGGAATGCCGTCCAGAACGCCCCTAAGCATCGCCCTCAGAGGCCGAGCCCTCCATGCGCGCGCAGGGAAGGGGTAAGACTGTTCGAGCTCCCGCACCCTGATGCAGGTCATTAACAATAAAAGGGCCCCGTAACCCTTGGGGATTGGGACCTGAGTTAGGAGGGCCAGAAACATTAGAGATAGGGCCCTTTTGTTCTGCAGATGTGTATCGATACAAACCGCCCAGATCTATGGTCCCCAATGCGAAGACGGGGTTCTAAGAGAGGCCACGTCTTCACTGTGTTATCCAGGTTACGGGTTCTTCTATTCTCGATGACAATCTACCCCGCCGAAGCGACTTGGGCCACCTGCTACCAACTTCCAAGCTTAGCAAGGCCAGACATAGCCCACTTTGGCATCCACTTGGATACCCCCTGTCCCTGAGCAGCCCGCGCTGATCCAAGGGGTCACAAAAGCACAGCGGGACTTGTAGGGGCCCTTGCGGCGCCCCAGGCTCTCTCAAGCAACGGCTCGGGATAGAAGGCGGGCCGCCTGGAAAAGGTCCAGACCCCTGGATGCCCATGCCACTCTAGGGTTAGGGTGTCTCGTCCTTGATGCCCAGGGGGCACCTCTTGTCGTCGACCTCCGAGCTCCCCGGAGTGCCCCGGGGCTCCGCGGGCCCACCGGGGGGTAACAGACGCTCGCGGGCCACCGGCTGGCAGGCTGACTTCTTCTCTGCGGCAGCTGTTGCGCTACCAGACCGCCCCAGCCCAACCCGAAGACCCAAGTTTCGGGTTGGGGTGGGGGGGTGCGGGTTCCATATGTGTTTTTTCCGTGTTCCCCGACGCCCACCCCACTGGAGGAAATGGAGGGCTGCTTGGGGCCGTCGGGCTGGGTTGGGGTGGTCTGGCAGGTGGCGATTATTGTATAAAAAGAGGACGGGGGGAGAAGTCGGAGGGTTCACGGATCGCCGAAGCACCCGGAAAGCGTTCAACCCTGCCCCTGAATCACCGCCCGCACGACTCCCAGGACGTCGAAAACGATGGATGACGACGACGACGACGACGACGACGACGACGACGACGCCGAAAACAGGGACGACAAAGACGGCGGCGACGACTAGTGGAACGGACGACGACCGACGAACGATGATGACGACGGCGGCGACGCAGACGACGGACGGCGACGACGACGGACTACTGGGTGATCAAAAAGCACCGATGCCGCTACTCCCCAGACCTGTCCTAGGGTGCATTCTGACCAGAATTTCGAGGATAATGCATACTTGGCGCAAAGCAAGCGTAGCGACATCAATACCTTTTCCTCCTCTGTCGGAGATGGACAGAATCCCCTTTAGCAAAACGTGGCTTAGTGAAAACGACGTCGGGCCCAAACCTGGCGGGCGCAAGCCTGGAAAATGACGGCCGCGGCGCCCTCTCAAGAACCGAAAACGGACAATTCACTAATCGACGTGTCAGGGTGGGGGTTCTGTCCATCCCCCGACTTTGGCTGACGGCGACGACTAAGACGACGGACGACAATGAAGGACGTTGGACGACAACGGCAACAACGGGGCTGAACGACCCTGGGCGAGCGGCAAGCGGCGAGCGGCGGCGACCACGACGGCCCCGCCGCCTGAGAGTTGCCGCCTCCAGGGGCCCTGCGGTGCAGCTCAGCCCGAAATCCGCCATCTTGGCGGTGCCGGAGCCGCTCAGGACGATGTTGGCGCTCTTCACGTCCCGGTGGAACGCCTGCGCCAGGCGACGGTCTTCCCGCATCCCCTCGCTTGGATAGGCGCGGAGGCTGCTAAGAGGATGTCGGGGATGGACAGAATCCCCTTTAGGAAAACGTCGTTTAGTGAAAACGACCTCGGGCCCAAACCTGGCGGGCGCGAGCCTGGAAAATGATGGCCGCGGCGCCCTCTCGAGAACCGAAAATAGACAATTCACTAATCGACGTGTCAGGGTGGGGGTTTTGTTCACCCCCGAGGATGGGGGGGGAGATGAATGGATGCTAAGGCGGGTTATATGTGGCGTGACCTAGCTCGGAAGCGGGTCACAAGTACCCAGAGTGGTTCGGGGGGATCACGATCGGGGCGAAGAGGCCTCCGTCCGCCTGGCAGATTGATGCGATTTGCAACATAAGGCCCCCCGCAACCCTGTGGGAGGGGACCTCACTGAGGAGGGCCAGACACATTAGGGATAGGGGATCTTTTCTGCAGATGTGTATCGATACAAACCGCCCAGATCTATGATCCCCAATGCGAAGACGGGGTTCTAAGAGAGGCCACGTCTTCACTGTGTTATCCAGGTTACGGGTTCTTCTATTCTCGATGGTGATCGTCCCACCGAAACCAGTTCGGCCACTTGCTACCAACTTCTAAGCTTAGCCAGGCCAGACACAGCTCACTTTGGCATCCACTTCGATACCCCCCTGTCCCTGAGCCCCCCCGCGCTGATCCAAGGGGTCACACAAGCACAGCGGGACTTGTTGGGCTGTTTTCGGCCTCCCAGGGTCCCTGCGGAGCCCCAGGCTCTCTCAAGAAACGGCTCGGGACAGAAGGCGGGCCGCCTGGAAAGGGTAGGGTCCAGACCTCTGGGTGCCCATGCTCTGAAACACGTCGGGACGCTGGGGGTATGAGGTCGTTCCGGCTGTGCCCCGCCGACGGGCTGGAGGTGCCACGTTCAAAAATGCGCTCCCGACCCGCGTCTCACACCGTGGTGGGGTCCGACGACGACTGCACCCCGCGGCCGCCAGGCACAGAGTGTGCTGGTGCTGCCTGGGCATCCCGCCTCGCTTTCTGTAGGGCACTCAGCGATGCCACAAGCATAACAGTCCGGAGCCCCGCGCAGATTTCCTGGATCCGCAGCGGACTCTCCCTCCATGGCCCGCGGAGCGCACCATGGGGTCCAGCGCTGATCCGAGGAATCCACGCGGAGCTCCCGTTTGTTCCCTCAATTCTTGGCTTGGGATCGCTCAGGACAAAAGAATAATTCCAGATCTCCTCCTGCGGATCCAATATGAGAACATGATCGACCCACGAACCCGGAAAGGAATATAGAACCGTAACACATGGCAGCGTTTTCAAAGACACCTGACTGGGTGACGGGCAAATGCAATGCTGAGTGTATCGATCTTGATGTACCCTGCCGAGGGCTGTGCTGTGCTGCACCGTGCTGAATTGCGATGTGGCATGCCGCGGTTGTGCTCTATAGCGTCGTGGATCGAGTCCTCCTTTGCATCCGAGTCCTGACCGAACTGATCTGGATCTTAAGCTCGAGCTGCCTGAACACATAGTAGCTGCCCCACAGCTAATTGACAGGGGAACATGCCAGGAGGACGCGCCGCGAAAAGTCCCAAGGGATGCGCCAGGCGACGTGCCAGGGGACGTGCCATGGGGACGCACCGCGGGACGTGCCAAGGGGACGCGCTACGGAACGTGCCAATGGATGTGCCACGGGATGTGCCAGGGGACGCGCCGCGCGACGTTCCAGGTGGACTCGCCAAGGGACGCCCCACGGAACGTGCCAAGGACGTGCCAAGTGGCAATGCTGAGTGTATCGATCTTGATGTACCGTGCCGAGGGCTGTGCTGTGCTGCACCGTGCTGAATTGCGATGTGTTATGCCTCGATTGTGCTCTATAGCCTCGTGGATCGAGTCCTCCTTTGCATCCGAGTCCTGACCGAACTGATCTGGATCTTAAGCTCGAGCTGCCTCAGCACATAGTAGCTGCCCCAGAGCTAACTGACAGGGGGACATGCAAGGAGGACGCGACGCGGAACGTCTCAAGGGACCCGCCAAGCGACGTGCCAAGGGACGTGCCATGGGGACGCACCGCGGGACGTGCCAAGGGGACGCGCTACGGAACGTGCTGGGGACAAACGTTTCGCTCGAGACATCCTGCCAACATCCTCAGAATTCCTGCGCGCGGGACGCGGCACGCGCGAGACCTCCTCGGAATTCCTGCGGGCGGGACGTGAAAACAATCATTTCGCCTGAGACATCCTCTGAATTCTGGCACCCCACAAAGCCCCCCACGAGGCCCCCGCTCGAGACATCCTCCAATTTTGCAAAACCAGCGTTTCGCTCGAGACATCCTCAACAAATGTTGAAACAACAAGCGTTTCGCTAGAGACATTCTGTCAAAATCCAAAGAAATCCTGGCAACAAGCGAATTAGTCGAGACATCCTCGAAATCCCTGCAGGCGCGAGACATCCTCGGAATTCCTGCGCACGGGGCGCTTTTCCGCGTCGCGGTCAGCTCTGCAAAACCAGCGTTTCGCTCGAGAGATCCTTAACAAATTCTGAAAACAAGCGTTTCGCTTGAGACATCTCCAACTCTGCAAAACCAGCGTTTCGCTCGAGACATCCTCAACAAATTCTGAAAAACAAGCGTTTCGCTAAGGACATCCTCAAAAATAATTCCGCCGGCCCTACTCCCGCACGTATTTTATCGCAGAATAATTTCGCCGGCCCTACAGCCGTCGAAACCGGGGGGTAAACCATCTAAAAGAGAACCTGGGCTCGAGCCCTTTCCGGGAAAAAACTTGTTTTGCCATTTACGGCCTCTGGGGACCCTTGCCTGGCCCCGTGATCATCAAGCAACGTGTCTGGAATTGTTTTTCATTATGGGACCTTTTTGGGAATCTCTTTCACATGAAACCTGCCCCCCAGAAGCTCCTGAAAGCTTGCGAGAGGACCCAGAGGGCCCCAAACACACCCCCACGAAGCCCAGAAGGTGCTTCAAAAAGGCGCTCACGAGGCCCCCACGGCGCTGTCCACGAGACCCCACGATGCCTCGAAGAGGCCCCTGGCCCAGAACCCATTCGCGGTGGAGGGACGGGCCGACGGCCACGAGATCCCCCCCCCCCCCCCCTTTGCTTGCCACGCACCTGCCATCGCTCGGACGTCCATTTCCCGTGCACTTTTCGGTTTCGTGCGTGTTTTTTTTGCTCGATGGTCCAGGATGGTCCTCGATGGTTCTCGCCGAGGAAAAACTGCACACGTCCGAGCGATGCCAGGCGCAAAGTTCTTTACCCTACCAGTGACTCGTCGGTGGTCTTCGGCCCCGCCCGCTGGTGGCCCGGGAGGCCACGCCACGACCGCAGAACACCTCCCTGCCCAGGAAACCCACCTCGAAGACGGCCTCGACGGCGCAAGATGGCTTCCGAGATGGCTTCCGAGACGGCCCAAGAAAAGCCCAGCCTCCACGATGGCCCAGGAGGGTCCGAAAAAAGTCCGTGTTAGCCCAGGACGGCCCCAAGACTCACGAGGATGATTGCCTGGCCGCTCTCCATGGGGTGGACCCGTGCGTTCGCGCGGACCTGCGGAGGACGTGCACCGCGCGGCCAGACGGGGAAGCCCGGGAGACCACCGAGAAGCTCTCAAGACAATTGAAGGGGCCCACAAGCACACAAGTAAATATATTTTCTAAGTTTTTGTCTTCCCCCCACTTCCCACATGTTCCCATACCTTCTGAGAAATCGGCGGTTATTGTGTCTGTGTTTTTCCCCTCCTGGACAATGGCCGGCCAGCGCAGAGACCCACCCAAGGAGGCGGGCGGGAGAGCCGGCCGCGCCGGCGAGCGCAAGGCGCACCGTGAGCCAAGCCCGCGACACGGGAGGGCGCGCTGCCTCGCCGAGGCGGCGGCCCGACGGGACGACGCGCAAGCACGCGCTCCTCCTCGCCATCGCTCAGACGGCCATTTCCCGTGCACTTTTCCGGTTTTGTGCGTGTTTTTTTGCTCGATGGTCCAGGATCGTCCCCAATGGTCCTCGCCGAAAAGAAATGCGCACGTCCGAGCGATGCCAGGCCTCTGCAAGGCCGTGGGCCAGCAGAGGAGACGCACGTGTAGCCCCTTCCGGGGCCACGGCCGAAGCCTGCCACCCTGCTTCGGGCCCGAGCGGTGAACGAGGGAGTGGGGCAGCCGCAAGGCGAACGACTCACCAGGTCGCCAGGTGCCCGACAGGGGAGACCGCGGTCTGTGAGAATCTCCCCCCCCCCCTGGACCAAGGCGTAGGGTTAAGTCGGGCCTGTCCCCCTACAGGGGGATTTTCGACGAAATATTAAAAATGCCGAAAAATATTCCAAGATGGTCAAAAACTACCCCAAAGATAGTCCCCTGACTATTTTTAACATTTTTGAGTATATTCCTCATGTAGAGGGACAGGCCCGACTTAAGCGTAGGGATGACGAAGATAACTGCCTGGCCGCTCTCCATGGGGTGGTCCGGTGCGCTCGCGCGGACCTTTGGGGCAGCGAGCAGCGTGCGGCCCGGGCAGGGAAGCCCGAGGGACCCCCGAGGAGCTCCCAAGGCCCAGCGCCGGGGCTCTCGGCGACGCGGGCCCCAGCCCCACCGCTGACGCCGAGAGCACAGAGGTGGCGTCACCTGCCCAGCGGCGGCGCAACACCACCCCGCCGACGACGACGACGACTCCAGAGGCCACCAACGTGTCCCAGGGCTCCCGAGAGCACCACTGATTGCGTGGACCACGCGAGCACAAACCACGTGTTGCCTGGATAACCACACAAACATGCACGCGCACACAGGCCCTGCAGCCACATTTACTCTCCCGATGCTCAAGGCGCGCAGTCGGATGCAGACGAATCCGAAAAATCTACAGCCCGTTCTGCAGCGGTCACGGTGTCTCTGGACGCTGACGAAGCATAGCCGAACGCGGCCACGCTGCGTCGCCCTCCACTGTGGAAAAGTGCCGGGCCAGGACGCTTCGACACTACTTGGCACCCCGTGCGCCTACTGCATGGCCGGGCGGGCCCCCCCGGGGGGCCTGCGGCGTGGAGTTGTGCAGGTGCGATAACCCCGTGGCCGCGTCAAGGCACACGGAGAGCCTCCGCCGGCCGGCGGGTTCGCGTCCCGACGGCCCTCCCGCCGGCGGTGGCGGCGGCGGCGATTGGCGGCGGCGGCTCGATGCACCTCGGATCGACAAAACATGGACCAACAAAACCACGGATTTCTTGTTGCTGTTGTCTGCTTACGGTGGCCCTTGCTGGGCCCCGGGACCGTCAAGCATTTGCTCATTCAGGCAGGGAGCCAACAAAGGACGTACGCGCCCAGCTATGTACATGAACACGGCCCCTCGATCCGCGAGACCGGCCGCGTTATACGAACATGTGCGCAGTGCGTACTCTCGAAACCAGCGTGGATTCATGTACATGCACGTCCTTCTTTCGCTCCTGATCAGGATGGAAGAACGGCTCTGGGGAAGGGGTCGAGACTTCCGGGGATCCCGACCCCACTCCGCGCCAGGTCTGGGCCGATCCGATCCGTCTACGACTCTGCGATCCGATCCGCAGCTCAGGCATCTCGGTCATACGTGGATCGGGGCGTGGGCTGCCAAAGGCACAGGGGGCTTCTACGTGGACGCTATGAGGGGTTACATCCGCCTGGACCTGGCGCATAAGAGGGTCACGAGTGCCTTTAGCGGCTCGGGGGGACAATATCCAGGCTAAGTGGGCTCCGCTCACTTAGCAGAGTTATCCACCCCACATACGCCACATAGGGCACCAGCATCCCACTAACTAATGAGCCAGGTTACCCGCCTATCCCCTTGGCCCCCCCCGCGCTGATCCAAGTACCGCGGGCTTGTGTCGCTCACACCGCGGGGAACGCTCAACCTTGAACGATCGGCTGTTCCCGACACGTCAGATCGTCCAACGTCGACCGATTCGGGGTCGCCGGCGGCGTTCAACGTGGAACGCCGGCGGCGGGGTCACCGCCACTCTACACGACGCGAACCTGCCGTAATGGAGGAGGAGGAGGAGGGGGAGGAGGAGGGGAGGAGGAGGAGGAGGAGAGGAGGAGGAGGAGGAGAAAGAGGATGACGAGGAAGAGTAGGAGGATGAGGAGGAGGAGGAGAGGAGGAGGAGGAGGAGGAGGAGGAGGAGGAGGAGGAGGAGGGGGAGGAGGAGGAGGAGGAGGAGGAGGAGGAGGAGGAGGAGGAGGAGGAGGAGGAGGAGGAGGAGGAGGACGAGGACGAGGAGAAGGAGGATGACGAGGAGGAGTAGGAGGAGGAGGAGGAGGAGGAGGAGGAGGGGGAGGAGGAGGAGGAGGAGGAAGGAGGAGGAGGAGGAGGACCGTCGTGCGCGATCTTGCCCACGGTGCCTGGAGGCTGGGGCCCCGTGGCCGCCTCCAGGCACCGCCCGAGAGCCTCCCGCGCCGCGGCGGGCTCGCCGCCCAGCGGCGATCCTCGGGTCAACGGCGGCGGCGGCGATGCTCCGAGCATGTTCTTAGGGTGGGAGGGCTCGGGGCGACATCCATATGGGCTTTTGCACCTCGAAAGTCGATCCGTCTTGCGATTCGCCTTTTGCAGATGCAAGCCTCGAACATCCACCGAAGCGGCATTTCAGATTTCACCCTTTCCCCATCCGCCCAATGAAAATGCTCGGATGTGAGCTGCTCGTTCCTGGGGGCCCTCCCGGAGCACAGTCGAGGCGCTGACCTGAGGAACCCAAAATAAAAAACGGGGCTCCTTTCTGCCGTGAGGTAAGCCTGGATTGCCCATCGAAAACCTCAAAGGGACACCTCAGGCAAGCTGGGAAACAATCAAGGAACACCAGGCCCCTCCCCAACGAACATGCTTCCTTCTTTAGCGCCCCGACTGTAGGTGGCGCCATCCGCACTCTGCTGCCCACACTAACCGTCGATTCTCCTGAAGCGATGGGAAGCAGGGGCAGGGTTCGGATTCCGCCATGCGGTCGACGAATTCCGAAGTCTACCCCCGCAACCCGTCGAGTGGCCTGAGTCGTTGATCGGCGAGTGTAGGGTTCGGATTTCGCAGCAGATGGAGCCACTCGCTCCACTCAAGCGTCGATGCTGCGTCGAACGTCCGCCGACTTGAGTCCAACTTGAATCGAACTTGTGCTGGGGCAGAGTCGAGCCAGAGTCGAGCTAGCGTCGAACTGGATTCGAACAAGAGTCGAGCAGATCCAATCACTAGATGGGCCCAAGGACGCCCCCCCAAACGAACGTCTGAGCGATTGTCGACATGATGCGAACGTGTCTCGGGGGAAACGGGCTCTGAGGTTTTTTGGCGGGTTTCGGTAGCCCCATCCTCGTTGAGGGCCGAGCCTCTGTCCACTGCTGCTCAGGAGTGCTCGGCGGTGGATTTGCACGGGTCAGTCTTTACCTCGGGTCAGGCTCGGGGTTCACTGCTACCAACTTGCCCATCCTCGGCATTGTAGCGGGGCGTTTGCACTCCATGGCCATGCCTTTCCTTTTTTGCAGGCGGTAACAACTTAACGCCGCCTGTGCTCGAATCGTCTGGCTTTCTTTCTCTCGTAAGCGGCCGAATGGTCGCCCCCGACTTTGGCACCGTCACGCCGTCTCGCAACCTTCTAGACTACTTCGTTGTCAGTCCTCATTTCGCGAAGGCCCGTGCCGTCGCGCTTCTCGGCACGCCCACTGGGTCGCGCAGGCCCGTCGAGCTCATCCTCGGGAACTGCCGTTCCAAGCCGCTAGTTCAGATCAGGAAGGCCTCCAAGTGTTTCCCCGCTGAGGCCCCAACGGGTTGCTGCAACAAGGATTTTGCTCCGGGCTGGCACGACGTGCGTGAGAATATGCAGTCTGCTTCCGTAGAGAAAGCTTGGAGGCTCTTCTCAGTCCAGGCGGAGGCCAGCCTCGCCGATGTCTTCCAGATCGAGCCCGCCGATGCCGGGCGGTACCGAAGGCGAGCAAGCGATCCGACGTTGGTCAACGTCCCCCTGGCCAAAGCGTCCGCCCCTCGCTTTCCTAGGCTGTCGCCTACCGCCGTTTGGCTGCGTAAGGTGAGCATCTGTTTTCAGTCAATGTCAAGGGGCCCAAGGACACACAAATAAATACACACAAATAAACGATTCCCCATACTTTTCCATATTTTCTTGGTTTTTATCTTCCCGCCCAAGTCCCATATTTTCCCATCTTTTCCTGGGAGTCGACGATTAATAGTGTCTGTGTGTGTTTTTCCCCTCCTGACAATGGCGCGCACGACTGGAATGCAGTGGGCGCAATCGCTCCGTGAGGCCTCGAAGCTTGCTCGGGTTGCGCCCGCTGCCGTCCTCCGAGCAGCCGGGTTCCAGCGGTGGCTTGCCTGTCTCGCTCTCGCGCTGTCGGCTTGCCGCCGCCGATCGCCGCCGCGCTGCCGCGCATCGCCAGCCATCGGTCGGAGCAGCTCGCTCGAGAAACCGTTCGCGCGTCCAGCGGCCGGTTCTCTGCATGGGTCCAGACCCGGCTCGACGCTGGAGCTGGAGCCTTGCGCGCCGCCAGCAGGCTGTCCTTACAGGGCAGTTTTTGATACATAGGATTTTGAAACAGTATTGGATTTGTAATAATGATTAATTCACTACCTAGGCTCTGCCTAGAAGGGTTCTTACTCTCTTAGCTTCAAGGGGCCGGGCAGTGCACAGCGCCCCGGGCGGTTCCCCCAGTCCCCGCCCCGCGGTTCCCTCAGGTACGGCCTCTTAGCTTAGCGTTGCTTAACTCATCTTAGCTTAGCTTAGCTTAGCTTCATCTTAGCTTCGCTTAACTGTAGCTTAGCTCTTGCTTAGCTTAGCTTAGCTTTAGCTTTAGTTTAGCTCATCTCAGCTTAGCTTAGTTTTAGCTTAGATTTAGCTTAGCTTTAGCTTAGCTTTAGCTTAGCTTCCGCTTACATGCAGCTTACATTTAGCTTAGCTTTAGCTTAGCGTTAGCTTAACATTAGCTCAGCTTCAGCTCAGCTTTAGCTTATGTTTAGCTTAGCTTTAGCTTAGCTTAGCTTAGTTTAGCTTAGCTTTAGCGTAGCTTTAGCTTAGCTTTAACTTGGCTTTAGCTTAGCTTTAGCTTAGCTTTAGCTTTAGCTGCAGCTTACCTTTAGCTTAGCCTTAGCTTAGCTTTAGCTTAGCTTTAGCCTAGCTTTAGCCTAGCTTTAGCTTAGCTTTAGCTTAGCTTTAGCTTGGCTTTAGCTTGGCTTTAGCTTAGCTTTAGCTTAGCTTTAGCTTTAGCGTAGCTTTAGCGTAGCTTTAGCTTAGCTTTAGCTTAGCTTTAGCTTAGCTTTAGCTTAGCTTTAGCGTAGCTGTAGCTTAGCTTTAGATTTAGCTGTAGCTTAGCTTTAGCTTAGCTTTAGCTTAGCTTTAGCTCAGCTTTGACTTAGCTTTAGCTTAGCTTTAGCTTAGCTTTACTGTTACTACTAATGCTGCTTTCCCAGGGGCCCCAACTCCTAGGTAGGGTCGCACTGGGATAATGTATGCACACATGTATGCATAAACTCATCGTTGTTCCCTACCTAGGCTCTGCCTAGAGGGTTCTTACTCTCTTAGCTTAAAGCGGCCGGGCAGTGCTAAGCGCCCCGGGCGGTTCCCCCAGTCCCCGCCCCGCGGTTCCCCCAGTCCCCTGTGAGCTTTAGCTTTAGCTTTAGCTTTAGCTTTAGCTTTAGCTTAGCTTTAGCTTAGCTTTAGCTTAACTTTAGCTTAGCTTCAGCTTAGCTTTAGCTTAGCTTTAGCTTAGCTGCAGCTTAGCTTTAGCTTAGCTTTAGCTTAGCTGCAGCTTAGCTTTAGGTTAGCGTTGGCTTAGCTTTAGCTTAGCTTCAGCTTAGCGTTAGCTTAGCTTTAGCTTAGCTTTAGCTTAGTTTCATAGTAGTTTTAGCTTTAGCTTTAGTTTTAGCTTATATTTAGCTTATAGCTTAGCTGTAACTCAGCTGTAGCTCAGCTTTAGCTTAGCTTTAGCTTAGCTTTAGCTTAACTTTAGCGTAGCTTTAGCTTAGCTTTAGCTTAGCTTTAGCTTAGCTTTAGCTTAGCTTTAGCTTAGCTGTAGCTTAGCTGTAGCTTAGCTTTAGCTTAGCTTTAGCTTAGCTTTACTGTTACCACTAATGTTGCTTTCC